GCATCTGTGGATGCATGACAAGGTGCGGTTGGCCTTCCTGGCTGCATCCCCACACTGCCGGCCCATGTTCATCTTGGCATCAATGACGACCCCAAGATCCTTTTCTGCCTCTGCACTGACGAGAAGGGAATTCCCCAGCCTGTAGGTATGGTGCCGGTTCTTCCTCCCCAGGTGCAGCACCTTGCGCTTTTGTCTGTGTGAAACCCATCCTGTTCTCATCCGCCCACCCCTGTAACTTGTCTAGGTCTGATTACAGCTTATTCCTCCCTTTTAGCGTGCCCACATCCCCCCACATCTTAGGGTTGTCTGAGAATTTGAACAGGGTGCTTTTTACCCTGCTTTTTACCCTAAAGGTAAAAGTTGTGCTTGCTGCTTTACATTTCTGCTTTAGACCTAAAGACTGGGCAAACCAGCATGGGTGAATCTGGCCAACATTTTGTAAAGTACCTAGGGAACTTTTATAGTAAAAAAAGCTAACAGTGATTTAATTAGTAACACAGGAAGATAATAACATGGCTGACAGGCAAGGATAGTATTGTAGTTAAAACACAAGGACCTGGATTGTTATTTCTAGGTCCTGCCCAGGACTTCTTGCAAAGTGTTGATAAATCCATGGGTCTAACTGAACCCTGAAACACAATCAACCAACAAGATGCTCAGGGATTCTGATCTATAAAGAGGAATATATGACAGAGCAAAAACCAGTTAGGCACTGAGAATGCCTGTGAGAACAACAATATTTTAAAGACATTAAAGCAGAGCCAAGAGAAATAAGATCATATTTGTTCAGGACTAAGTGAAAAAAAAAAGAATGTGAAAGACTAGACCCTGCTGACTCCGTGTGGTTGCATACCGTATGCACCATGTAATACTGGCTTGTCATCATCTTCTTTCTTTACTGAATATTAAAGTAAATAGTCAAGTCATTCCAGCAGCCCTACCACAAATTAAAGTTGCTCCAGGCACCAATTTATACACTGGCCTTTTAGGCACGTGATTTTTTTTCTTTCCATTTGGAAGGTGCAAGTTGGAGCAAGGTGCGTGCTTCTTTCTTGTTTAAAAAATTACATGTCCCCAGGGCATCTTGTCACCTGCAATCATTAGGGGCTTCTAAAAGCAGTGAAACTAGGCACACTCTGGACTATGTTTTCTTGCTTTCTTTTATGAGTCATGTCTGGTCTAAATGTAGAAATGGACATGGATGGTTATTGGGTAAAGCACTACAATTGCCTATGTTTGAAAAGTAACAAGGAAAATATCCTAGGTGAAGCTACTTGTTATTTCTGAAGGATTTTTGCAAGACAGAGAGCTACAGACTTTTGAAAATCTACTGCTTCCTCCTTGAAACTGAAACTTTATCAAACCACTAGATCTCAAGCTTTAATTACTTCCCTTGAGCCAAGTTATGTGTCAAGGACAGTGACTAACCTAAAGAAAATTTAACTGCTTGGATAAGGGGAGGACATTTTTTTTCCCTTGAAACAACATTCATTATTGTCCCTTTTTAAAAAAAATCTGGGAATGAGACAGCAGGAGAACAACAAATTACATGTTAAAATAAAAAGGGAGGTTGAGATTTTCAAACACATTTTCAAATAAAAGGGGAGGTTGAGATACCCAAGGCATTTAAGGCTAGGTACAGACATTACACTTTTATTGGTGTAACTGATCGGAAACTGGTCTATACCCTTAATAGAAGAGAAGTTTGGCACATCAAAGGGTGAACATGTGTTTGGTTTGCTACCTATCTAAACTGTGCCACTTACAGAAAACTGTGTAACTTAGATCAATTCTGCCTCTGGCTTTTTGAATGTCTGGACGCACATCTACCATTAAGATGCCTAAGATGCTTGTCTACCATTAATTTAAAACACAACTAACTTTGAAAAGTTTATTTCAATGGTGATCTTCTCAGTTACATTAACTGGGCGTTATGTGGGTAAATCCTGGCCCCTGCAAGTTGTTAATTGTAAAATCATCACCTAGGTGTTATGCTTATCAATTTTTGAGGAACCTTTAATCCTACTGACTTGCCTGGACTGGGGGTCATTAACCTTTTGCAGAATCAGACCTTTACAGAATTAGACTTTTAACTGGGGAAAATAAAGCAAAACAGAATCTGCATATAATCACCTTATTTCTAAAAAAAACCCAAAACACTTTGATAAACCATATTCCAAATCAACCAGGAATGATATTGAGAAATAAACAAATCAACCTCTTATAAATGCTGTGGTATGAAAAGTAAAATGAATTAAACTGGTGGCTATGTAAGGTAAAGGTTGGTCTAATTTATTTTATATTATGGCACATACCTATCAAAAGAGAAGCTGTCAGCAACTTGGGGTCATAGGGACTTTTCCCTCGGCCATTTTCAAAATGAGAATCTTCTATTTTAAAAATGTTGTCCTGTTGAGAATAATAAAGCAACAGAATTATTTAACAAACAGGCACCAATATTGAGTCAGATTCAATAACACTTTATACAAAATAGAATTGCAGATGGCCAGCCTCTTAGCTGGGCCATATCAAGTTAGCCCCTGAAATCAGTCAAACTACACATTAGTACACCAGCTGACGATCTAGGCAAAAATGTGTGCCTTTCAACTAGAATGACACTGATGAATGTCAATCAGAAACTGCTCAAAATCCAATCTCGAGTTCTGGTCTATTCCATTCTCATAAATTTTACATTTTACTGAATTTGTTTCGAGTTGAATGGAAGGGTGCTTGTTGAAGAACTAAGGACAGAACTTGATGGTTGGACTTTTGTTTTAAAAAGAATTTAAAAACCCACACACAAAGCAGGTTTCATTAAACATGATATTCATACATTCAGAAACATTACATTAGCATCAAATTCTATGCCTGTATCTTACTATTCCAAGCTTGAGAGCTTAGTGCTCAGCATTTCCCTACTCCCCAAAATTACTTTACACTTATTAATGGTCGTTTAGTTCAGTCATTTGTGATGTGCTGGTTGTAGAATCTATCAGCTTGAGCACAGTATGACAAGATAAGATGAACAAACAAAACCTGAGTCAAAATTTGAACAAATAACACACAAACACACACACACACACACACACACACATTCTTTGCATGCTTATGCCTACAACAGATGGGGTGCTGAAAGATTGTCTCTTCACCTGCATGTGGTGGCAGGAGACAGTAGCCAGGCAGTTGCATCCCCCTTTTTTCCCTGTCACACCACCACCGGAGTCTGTATTCCCATTGCATTATGCACTGTATCAGTACACGTAAAGAAGCAGTCCCTTGCCTTAAGCCAAACGCTGTAGTCATTTTTTACAAAACATTTTGCTTGCTTTATGACAACATCTCAGCTCCTCATCTTAACTGTCAAGGCTTGATAGCCCTCATTACCTGTGTCTTAAGGCAGGGGTGGGCAACTATTTTAGCTGAAGGGCCGCTTAATGAGTTTTGGTGAGCTGTCAAGGGCTGCAAGGGTAGCCCAGCCCCTTGATAGGTGTCCCACCCCCTGGTCACTATCTTGGGACCAGCAGTCCCAGGCCTAACCCCTGACCTTTGCCACCAGAAGTCCCTTGTCTTGCCCCTGGAAATGTTCCTTTTGGAAGTGGGGGAAGGTTACCATCTTTGAACCAGGAAAAAAAAAAAAAAAATCATACGCTAAGAGTCAAACACCTACTATAACGTATTTTAATTTTTTTACA